CCACTCAGAGTTGCTACCCTCTACCACAACCCTTTGCCGTCGGTTGGACAAGTATGATTCAAACCATTTTAACAAATCCCCACCAAATCCAAACATCTGCAGCTTATGTATCAGGAGGGTATGGGGCACTGAATCAAATGCCTTTGAAAAATCGAGAAAAAGCATATCTACTTGACCCCCCTTATCCAGTACACAGCCAATTTGGTGATATACCTCAAGCAACTGGGTGGTGGTAGATCGACCTTTGACAAACCCATGTTGGAGAGGATGGATAACATCACGTAAAGTGGGAAATATGGCGTCATACACACACCGTTCCATGACTTTACTCACTATGGATAACAAAGAAATCGGTCTGTAATTAGATGCCAACTCTTTATTCCCCTTCTTATGAACAGGAATAACGTTGGCATCCTTCCATTCTGAAGGTACCTTACCAAAGGTGGTTGATTTGTTAAACAATTGGGTAAGAGACGGTGCAAGTATGTCGGCACATTTCCTAAGAATGAGCGGGGAGATATTGTCAGGTCCGACCGCTTTAGTTATATCAAGACTGGCCAGCACATCTTGAACAACATCGACAGAAAACTGTAAGTTAGATAAGGCATCAACTGATACAATATCAATATCAGGTTTACTGGTATTCCGGTCCACCGGGGAGAAAGTTGAATAGAAATACTGGTTGAATATATTCGCTTTCTCCTTGGCAGATTGGGCGATGGAGCCATCATTTTTCACCACCGAGGGCAAGGATTTGGCCTTCGACTTAGCACGGACAAAGGACCAGAATCGCTTGGGTGACTCTTGTAATGAGGACGACAGACCATCCAAGAAGTTTCTATACTTGGAAGACAGGATATTTTTGAGCTTGTTTCGAAGCTTCCTGAACTTAGCCCAGTGAACAGGTTTGTCAGTTCTCTTCGCTTTCTTCCAGGCCGTGTACTTTTTATGTCGAACGTGCCGCACTTCACTGTCAACCCAGGGCGGTGTTGATGAGTTTTTCAGTTGTCTAGAAGGTATGTATTTAACCATCGCTGCCTGCACGGTGCTACGCCATGTTTGCCAGGCTGAATCGATATCACTGTGTTTTCCCATTTCCTCCTCCAGATCGCTTAAACTCTGATCTGACCGTAGGCCTTCCCAGTCAGCGGCCTTGAAGTTGAACACTTTACGGGAGATGCCACGCTTCGGTTGGGATTTACACTTGATCATGAATTCCAAAATGGCATGGTCGGTGTCGAGGACAGTTGGAACCTCGCTGATGGCAGACAGGCTCTCTGGAAAATTTGAGAAGACCAAGTCCAATAGATTACCGCTGGAGTTAGATGGAGTCAAGTTGTGTTGGTGAAGGAAGTGGTTGTTTATTACTTCGCAGAACTTCGACTCTTTGCCTCCGCCTGTTGCGGTGCAGGTAGACCAGTCCACGCGAGGAAGGTTAAAATCACCCACGATGCAACAGTTCCGGTATTCTTTCTGTATGTTTGTCAACACAGTGGCCATGTTGTCCGTAAAAGGCTCCAGATCAGCTGACGGAGGTCGATAACAGAGGACTAGAGCGAGCTTCCCCAGACTCGGAGGATGTATCTCACACACCAGGAATTCATCACGAGGTTCCAAGTCTGGTCTACGAAGACTGCACAAAGTTGATTTGATGGCTAAGAGTACGCCACCACCGACCTTGTTGTCATGAACATGCTGACGATCCTTGCGGTATGTGACGTAGTTAGGTGGAATGACCTCTTGGTCATGGATGTCGGAAGTCAGCCATGTCTCCGTAATGGCCAAGATGTCGGGAGAGTTGAGGTGGATAAGACTTTCAAGCTGCACTAGTTTGTTTCTGTGTTTATTTACAGCTTTGACGCTCCTAGCGTTGAGGTAGATAGTCCGGAGGGAGTCAAGTGACTGGACCATTATTACAAAATGAAATAATGCAACAATAATTGACAAAAACTTCATTCTAGTACAATTTAACAGTCAACAAAGAAAAATGAACCTAGATTAACGTCAAGAGGTATTACTCCGTGAAATATTATTCCGGATTAACTATTACTCCGCTTTGGAGTAAAATTTTAACCCCGGAGTAAGTGTATTTGTAGCAAGTGAGTATACCTCCGTAGAGTACACCTCCGCGTGACCACACCCAGTCTGCTCCGCTGCTCCACATAACGGGTGGGTGGAGCGCTAGCGCGCGCCGCAAATTCGACCTATCCTATCCACGATACTCTACACAAATGTAGTCTCCATCATGTATAATTTGTGGTTTCTGTAATTTGTGGATTCTGCAAATAAAGATATCGTGTGATTGCCATAGTAATACATTTACTCCTAAGCAATTAGATTTGATTAATATTGCTCTATTGTTAGCAGCCTTCGACCATCTGATTATATTTCTGATGCCCCGGAGCACCTAAAATGATTTTAATCTCGTAATGTATACTTGTTAAAGTTATGTCTACCAAAATAGTGTAGATATTAAAAATACAATAAATTTCTTGAAAGTGTAGGTTGCACGTGCTTGCGTTAACTATGCATAGGTACATAGGTTTATGTTGTTACTCCAGAGTGGAACTTAGTGTACAAGTAGTGAACTAGCAAAGTGGTAAGAGTGCTCGAAATACTCTCAACGTCAGATGAAAGACCAAGTTATACCGTTTTGTATCACATTTCTACAGGCTGTCCCTCTGGCTATATTGCATACGGGGGTGCGTGCTTCAAGGCGTACAACGAAGACAAAACCTACAGCCAGGCCAGAGAGGTGTGTGCAGCGGACGGGGCGCTCCTGGCCATGCCGAAGAACAGAGACGTGGACAACTTCGTGGGAGAGCTGAAGAACGCCGTGAATAAAATCTCACATTTCTGGTTTGGTCTAAATGATGGGAACAATGAAGGTGAGTGGGTGTGGGAAGACGGAACTCCACACGACATCATAACCGATTGGAACCTCTGGCAGCCGGGAGAACCCAACGGTAACGAGGGAGAAAATTGTGCGAACTACTATGGATCAGGGTGGAATGACGCATCGTGCTCCTCTGCTTACAAGTTTATCTGCCAGCTGGATGAAGGTATGTCACATAACGTTCTATAAAATCAACATAAGTTTTTCTTAAAATTACAGTAAATATTTATCAAATGCACGCCTTGTGTTTATTTCATTTGTGTCTGTTTATTTCATTTTACTTGGTTTCTTAGATACTTCTAGATTGGTTTCTTAGATACTACTAGATATCAAGACAATCTTGTGTTTAGGATAACCGTTGTAAAGTTAGAATCGAAAGTTTCTAAGTTATGTTACTCCTTACATACATGTAGTTATTACCTTCGCCAAGAAGGTTATGTTTTCAAAAGTGTTTGTGTATGTGTGTGTGTGTGTGTGTGTGTGTGTGTGTGTGTGTGTGTGTGTGTGTGTGTGTAGATCGATAGACACATACATGTATGCGTGATGGAAATATATATTATTGTGAGCATATACAAATAAAATGAGTCACTCATGTGAACATAACGACACCGTGGGTCACTCATGTACATTTGCGTAGTATCATTTTATTTCTTTGAAAATTTGTTGTTTTGTTCGGGGCTCCAGTTTGAACCAGCATGTCTTTTAAGGGCCGTTACAAAAACCATGACATCACTATTTTTTCTGTGAGTCACTCATGGTGTAAATACGACATCGTGAATCACTCATTGCACACACATTGTGATGTTGTGAGCCACTTATTGCATATGTGTATGTAGATGGATAGATACATACGTAGTACATGAATGCGTGATGAATATATGTCTTGATATGAGTCACCCATGGTTAACATAACGACATGGTGAGTCACTAAATATAAAATGATATATATGCTAAATAATACATTTACTGTGGCGTCGTGTGGCGTAAAGGACAGAGCGTTCGGCGCTCAACAAGGAGCCCCGGGTTCGATTCCGGGTCGGAGCACAGGGGCATGTCCGAACATGTGCCCCGACGTTGTGCCCTTGGGAAAAGCACGTTACACGTACCCCCCCCCCCTCAAATAGAGGGACACGTCTCCAACGGCAGTTGTCTTCAGCTGGCGGACGAGAGCTGCGCAAGGCGGGCTGACGTAGTCAAGGCGGACCTTGAGCGTAACCAAGTCATCCGGCAGCTCACTGCAAACATCTCAACCGGAACCAGCACGTCTCTCTCGGTATGGATCCGCTGGGGAAGACGGATGTCCAAGTGTGTGGGCCTCAGATTCGGAACTTGTTATCCACGTTAAACAAATCCACGCAAATGCCACTGTGTCAACTGTAACCTTCACTCAGATGTAGGGACTGACAAGGTCATCCTACTCGGAAATTGGTATCTGTATGTCTGTACATGAGTCTGTATCTGTGCATGGATATGTATCTGTACATGAATCTGTATCTGATTGCAAATAAAGATATCGAGTGATTGCCATAGTAATGCATTTACTCCTAAGCAATTAATTAGTGACCCATGATTGACTCACGAGTGACTCACGAGTGATTCACGAGTGGCTCATTTACTTTGTATATTTGTAAATTATTACTCCGGAGTAAGTATTACTCCGTGAAATATTATTCCGGATTAACTATTACTCTTTGGAGTAAAATTTTCACCCCGGAGTAAGTGTATTTGTAGCAAGTGAGTATACCTCCATAGAGTACACCTCCGCGTGACCACACCCAGTCTGCTCCGCTGCTCCACATAACGAGTGGGAGGAGCGCGCGCCGCAAATTCGACCTGTCATATCCATGATATACTATACACAACTGTAGTCTCCGTAATGTATAATTTTGTGGATTCTGCAAATAAAGATATCGAGTGATTGCCATAGTAATACATTAACTCCTAAGCAATTAGATTTGATTAATATTGCTCTATTGTTAGCAGCCTTCGACCATCTGATTATATTTCTGATGCCCCGTAGCACCTAAAATGATTTTCATCGCATAATGTATACTTGTTAAAGTTATGTCTACCAAAATTAGTGTACTTATTGAAAATACAATAAATTTCTTGAAAGTGTAGGTTGCACGTGCTTGCGTTAACTATGCATAGGTACATAGGTTTATGTTGTTACTCCAGAGTGGAACTTAGTGTACAAGTAGTGAACTAGCAAAGTGGTAAGAGTGCTCGAAGTAGTTTCAACGTCAGATGAAAGACCAAGTTATACCGTTTTGTATCACATTTCTACAGGCTGTCCCTCTGGCTATACTGCATACGGGGGTGCGTGCTTCAAGGCGTACAACCAAGACAACACCTACAGCCAGGCCAGAGAGGTGTGTGCAGCGGACGGGGCGCTTCTGGCCATGCCAAAGGACAGAGACGTGGACAACTTCGTGAGAGAGCTGAAGAACGACGTGAATAAAATCTCACATTTCTGGTTTGGTCTAAATGATGGGAACAATGAAGGTGAGTGGGTGTGGGAAGACGGGACTCCACACGACATCATAACCGATTGGAACCTCTGGCAGCCGGGAGAACCCAACGGTAACGAGGGAGAAAACTGCGCGAACTACTATGGATCAGGGTGGAATGACGCATCGTGCTCCTCTGCTTACAAGTTTATCTGCCAGCTGGATGAAGGTATGTCACATAACGTTCTATAAAATCAACATAAGTTTTTCTTAAAATTACAGTAAATATTTATCAAATGCACGCCTTGTGTTTATTTCATTTGTGTCTGTTTATTTCATTTACCTTGGTTTCTTAGATACTTTATCAAGACAATCTTGTGTTTAGGATAACCGTTGTAAAGTTAGAATCGAAAGTTTCTAAGTGATGTGACTCCTTACATACATGTAGTTATTACCTTCGCCAAGAAGGTTATGTTTTCAAAAGTGTTTGTGTATGTATGTGTATGTGTGTGTGTGTGTGTGAACACGATAACTTGAAAAAAGGACCTGAATGGATTGTCTTGATATACTTGGTAGGTGGGTAGGTCTTGATGGGACCTGAAAATGATTAGATTTTGGACCCCCTAGCGGCTTGTTATGATACTTCCGCTTTTGATATTTCATGATCTAGATATGCTAAAGTGACGAAATTTGGATGGTAGGTAGCTCTTGTGGTGGGGAAGAAGTGATGTGGGCCCCCAGCGGCTTGCTTTTGAACTGAAGGACTATTTGTTTGAAAATATTACAAAAAATAGATAACTCAAGAACCGGTTGACGTATCGTCGTGATTTTTGCTATGTAGGTAGCGTACGTGATGCTCGATATAATGAGCTGGCAATTTTGCAGCAGATATGGATGTAATTTGCATAATTTATGGGGAAATTCTATAAATCAGGTGCATTTCATGATATGACTTTTAAAACTTGTGACATCGGTGATTGACAACGAAACACAGGCAGATAGTTGTACTCGTTCATTAGTTCTCTGCCTTTTTTTGAGGTACTTTCAAGCATAGTAGGCGACCAGGTACTCTGGACAGCCTTAACCCAACATAGTGTTTTAGCGCCAAATATATATGTCAAAAATGTGAAATTAAGGAACAAACATATCACATGTTGTAATTTGTGTGCAAGTAAATTACATCACAGAAAAAAAATTGTAATAAAATATTTCAATTTTCGTGCAAAAATACATGATACCTTTTTAAGAACTTTATGTTTATGAACTTCTTACATGTAAAGCACTCAGCTGCTCTCTGGGACATTTCCGCTGTGGACACGGACTTGCCTGTATTCTATCCTGGAAGCGTTGTGACGGGATCGCAGACTGCACGGACGGGAGTGATGAGGAGGGCTGTGGTAAGTCACTGTTATGAGCCCATGTAGCATGTACGTGTACTAAACTAGCAGTTGTTCGTCAGTCAGTATTCCTAATGAAGTCACATTCCCAACGGGGCCCGAGCTGCATTTTCCCGATCTAGACGTCAGCCGGCGTCAAGAAGCTGGGCCCACGCCAGCTGTCATGGCCATAATTAGGTTATGACCTCGTCCCGACGTGTTTTTTCCCGGGGTCCGGGGTGATTTTAAGTCCGGGTCCCAACCGATACTGTATAAAAAACGGGCAGACCCCGGTTTTGAATTGTTACCTAGACATAACAGACATTATCAAATAGTCAGAAGACATCAAGGAATCAGAAGGCTCCATTATCCATTTCCATATTAAAATAACTGACCACTTTTTGGACCGCACTATTATAAAGGGGACAGGACACTAAAATATAAGCAGCATACATGTAAGACCGGACTGTAATGTTCGAACTACTCACATCGGGAAGGCCCCCTACACTTTTCGATAAGTGCAGTGGGTTCTTTAACGTGCATCGGATGTGGCTCTATTAAACACGGGACCTCCATTTAAAGTCCTATCGGAGGGACGTCCCTAACCGAAGCTAGGAGATCATTTACACCTAAGCGAAGTAAGGAAAGACATGCGTGTAAATTGCCTTCCCAAGGACACAAGATCGATGGCATCAAGAAGGATTCGAACCAGGGGCCACTTGGGTCTAAGCCGAGCACTCTACCGTTACGCCACATGACCCCACCAGAATAGTTACATTATAAATTTGTTTTCAACTTTTTTTTGCTGCGTTTTTGTCTTTTATACCAAATTTCCCATTCCACAAGACTGCCCTACGGTTTGGAAAGGTGACCTCAGAATAAGTGATCAATGGAAGATATTATGAAAAGTAAGAGGATTGTAAGGTTTGATACGACTCATGCTATTTCTTTTATGACTTATTTTTATGTTTCAAGAATTCTGAATTCATCATTTCTTCATGTACAAAGCCATGTCAAGCATGTTTTAATTAAGATGGGCAAAGCATTCCAGTGGTCACTAAAGACATTATTTTCAAAGGGTCCATGAAAAAAAAATTAACAAACCAGATTGTCTTTGTACACTAGTGGTCAATAGTACAGTTTTGAATTCATACTGCAGTTACCTTTTGTTTAGAAAGCTTGTCCTGTTGAATGTTGTCAAGATTGCAAACATTGAAAATAACATTATCAATTGTTTTAAACCTTTCAGAATGCAAACCAATCCCTGAGGATTTTGAAATCGACAGCAGGCTTACAATGCTACCAAATCAGCTGGGACAGACGACATTTGAGGAGATACAGAATTCCTCTGTCGTGGAGCTGCTCAACAGTTCGTACAGCATCCCAGGAAAGTATCATCCAGAGATGAGGACATTCATATCAACGGTTATTTTCCCGCAATGCGATGTCTCCGAAGAGAACAAGAGTCGCTGCTCTTCGTCACCAAATGCAGGCAACATGACCTTATGCATGTGAGTAGAAAAAGTACCGTTACGATAATGACTTAAATATAGTTAAAGTTCCAGTTACTGTTTTGGAAATGCTAAATCTAAGTTCAGTTCAGTTAATCATAATTAGGTGACACCATGTACTGTCTCCACAAGTTCCTGTCACGCATAACATAGGACAGTTCAGCACCTCCAAGACCTATGTCCTCCTCTATCACCTTCTTCAGAGTTAAAGAAGGGCGACCACGTCTCCGCTTTTCCTTTGGTGACTAGAGAAGCACCAACCCTGCCATCTCTTCATGTCGCATGACATGACCGGCCAGCGACAGCCTACGGTTGCGGATGACTGTTGTAATCCTAGGCATATTCCCATAAAGTTGGTTGTTGGTCACTTGGCTCCTCCATGAAATGTTGAGGGCTGCACGAAGCAGGCGGGTGTAGTTCCCATCTAGAAGTTTACATAAGTATGCTGTCAGAGACCACGAGTCAGCTTCGTAGAGCAGGATTGACTCAACGCAGGTTTTAAAACTTTTAGCTTCAAGTTGGTAGAGTTGGATATTGGGGATTTCCACACTTTTGTTAAGGCATTAGAAGCCCACCAAGCTTGCCCAATCCTACATTTCACATCATGGACTGTGTTCCCGTAGCTGCCAAGGTATTTAAAGTCATCAACTTGTTCAAGTTCAAGTTTATTTATTTCACCAGGGAATACCTCAGATCCATTGATCTGCTTTTTAGGTATCCCTGGGCACACATTAAAACATACAATTTCATAAAAATACAAATTGAACCCAACAATATACAGAAACGTTACAAACATGTACATATACAACACAGTCACATTATAGGCACATTTTTTTTTACAGTCACATTATAGGCACAATTTCCAAATTCAGTCCTCTCCACTAATCTACAGTCCGTTTTTCTTTCTAAATGCTGATATGCTAAATGCTAAATGCTCAATAGTAGAGCCATCACTAGACAGCAAGGAATGGGCCTTGTTGGAGGGTTAAGGTGCATAGATTTAGTTTTAGTCTTAAGTGCGTTTAAATAAAGTCCAATATCCTGTGTGGCATGCTCTACCCTGTACAGAAACTCTTGAGCAGCTTTGATAGTGTCTTCTAGAAGACAAATATCGTCAGCAAAGTCAAGGTCAGGTAGAAAGACTGCTGGGTGACGTGAGCTCTGTCTTCTCCTTAAAGTAATACCGTCATAAGTTCTTACTGCCCTACGTAATGCGTAGTCTAACGCAACAATGAAAAGAAACGGTGCAAGGGGGTCACCCTGCAAGACGCCTGTGTTGATGTTAAAGGTGTCTGTTTCTCCCTCGGGTGTGAGAACAGTAGCCCTCGTGTTGTCATACATAATGTTAATTGCATTGACAATCTGTAGAGGAACACCATATGCCTGTAAGATCTTGAACATGGTGTCACGATTGATCGACTCAAATGCTTTCTTAAAATCGATGAAGATAAGGACAGCTTCCTTTTGGTGGTTTCGAACTTCATCAACGATTTAGCGGAAAACAAGCCTCTGGGCCGAGGTAGAGCGTGGAGGTCTGAAGTCATTCTGATTTGGGCGCAAAAATTTGTCAATCACAGGACGAAGTCAATTCAGCAGGAGGAAATAGTACACTTTAGCTGCCACTTGGGACAGAGAAATGCCCCTGTAGTTATCCGGGAGGGTAAGGTTTCCCTTCTTGGAGATACTATACCTGAGAGTCCCCACTCTGGTGGTCTGTGACCAGCCATAGTTTGGTTGCACAAGAAGGTGACTGCTTACTGACCTTCGGCAGTTTCCACAACTCTACATGTAAACCGTCCAACCCTGGAGCTGGAGCTTTTCCCAGCCGCATCTGCTTCAGTGCTAAATCTACTTCCTCCTGCGTGAAGGGACTGCAACTTATGTCAAGATTAATGTCATACACTTGTGTGATCTCAGAGGCGGAACTCGGTTGAGGGGTGTCAGAAGAAAGAAGCTTGGAAAAATGTTTTTTCCAAGCGTTAAGCCTGTCCTCGCCTTGTATTAATGTGACCCCTGACCTCTTGCCCGACAGCTCATGCACTAACTTCCAAGCCTTCAGGTGATCAACAGTTGAGTCTGATTCAAATGCTTGGAGAGTTTTGATAACTCGCTCATCCTCCCATTTGTCATACGACTGCTTTAGATGTGCCTGAGTTGCTTAGAGGTTTCTAGTGGATGAGCGAAGGGTGGCTCGTCGAGCAGTTGTCACTTGAGTGCTGTCCTCTGGCTGTGGGTCACGTGGTGGTCTACGTGGCAGTTCATCTTTATCATATATTTTCACAAATTCAGAGTATGTTTTCTGGTGATCAGGTAATTGTGTAAATGCTTGTGCAATAGTGGAGTATACTTCTTCTGTCAGTTCCTGGTCTACCCTAACAGCTCCCCGAAACAGTTTGGGACGAGAGGGGGTTTTGGGAGCTCGGACGCTGAGACGTATCTTGGTAGAGACCATTCTGAGCCAATTGGATTGGAAGAATTAAAGGCTTGGCAGTTTCTAATACTATTTTTCCATCTTTTTCTATACAAGCAAAAATCGATCTGGGCCAGGGTACCCGCTGGTGCTCTCCAAGTCAACAGTTTCTTTTTGGGTTTTTGAAATGGAATATTGCCCACTTTCAGGTTAAACGGTCGCCTGAAAGGCTGCGACTAACTTAAGGAACATAGTATAAATAATATGACGTCATGAGGTTGCGTGTGAAATAAACCTCGTCAATGTGCTACTTTCGCTGACTGGCATTATATCCACTGATGTTTCTCAGGGGAACACAGCTGGTACCATGCCGCTCGTGGTGTGAAGAAGTGCTCAACACGGCTGATGACTGGATAAAGGACCAGTTGCCGCGATGTAGCTTGTTTCCTTCATCCGATAACAATTGTTGGAATCCCAACTCAGCCAAGAAGGGAAGCGAAGGTGAAAATGAAGACTTTTTTTGTCCATTTCTCCACGGGAATTATCTTTTTTAATAAATATGACTATACTATGACCATATCTATTAACTTTACTGAGCAGAAAATCATTATAACGTTAAACAACTTGAAGGTCCTTGCGTTCAATGATAAGTAAGTGCGTATCATTTTCTACAAACTCTACAGAGCATTTGCTTTTTGTGTCCCACGGGCATGATATTAGTTTGATTTTTGCACAACTAAATTCATCACATTTAATTAAGGGTATATCATGATGACACATACAGTATTACCTGTTGGTTTGTCTTTCTCAGTTTGCTACCACGGCGTCGGCATAAACTACCGTGGCACATGGAGTAAAACTACATCCGGGGCAGATTGTGTCGAGTGGTCAGCTCCGCAAGCTGGTTACTACAAGACAGAGTTCCCCTGGGCGAACCTGGATAACAACTACTGCCGCAACCCTACCGGTCTGGACCGGCCATTTTGTTTGACCGAAGACGGTAGCCAGGAGGAATGTGACGTCATCCCGTGTGGTAAGTTTTCTTGTAAGGAAGTAACTATGTCTTGCTTTCCAGAACCGTTCATTATTTGTTTCTTGGACAATATAAGTACTTCTTGTCTTCTTCCAAGCTTATTCCATAATGATTTTAATATATCTAACTGTATACACCAGATGCTGAAGGCTGCTGGGACAGAGGTCCTCCAAACTACGGCAAGAGATCTCCAACCAAGAGGTTCTACTATGTAGGAGAAAAGGTCACATACTCGTGCAACGAAGGCTACACACTCAAGTCCGGTTACACCAAGGAAGTGAGGTGCATCGGAGGAGGCAATTGGCAGTATGACAAACCTAGTTGTTTAGGTAAGTATTAAAACCTTAGTCTGTCTTTGCTATAGGTAAAGTGTACACAGCTAAATATCCGTTTTACTGTGCGTCCGCAAAATATTCATGTGTCACGTTAATGTTTATTTGTGGGGCAGTTAAACATGAAGAGCCAAAACACCAACTTCACTTGCCGCAACGTCACTTTCCGATTCGCATTCGAAACTAACGTTGTTTTCATTGTTTGCTTGATAAATCATAAATAATCTAACACACTTAAACCTGAAAATAATTAAATCGTTTTGTCATGTGTTTTGACAACCCATCATCGTTAAACATCCTCAACAGAGTTAAAGCGTGATGCTTGTAGTGAGTAGTTAAACTTGTGCGATTCGCGTTTTATATAGACATCAGCTGACAGGCACAATAGTTTTCCGATTAATTTTAAATTTTCCAGTTGCTGCATATTGAATTGTTTATTATATTATATTTTTCACACAAAACACACCCTTCTGCAGTAAACCACAGGCAAAGGCTGCAAGAGGATCTACTGGACATTTCCAGTGCAAGTCTGCCACCTGAGAATGTTATCATCAACTTCACTGGATCTGTGGTACAGCTTGTTGACTTGGTAAGAACATTTACTCTGTTGCACAATTACCCCCCCCCCTTATTGTCCGCTATAAAATCACTTGTAAGAGTAAAAATACAACTTCATCCATGCAGTAACTTGTATTTCAGGATGAAAAGAAGGAGCAACTGGCTGCATCTGTTGTCATCGATTTCGTAAGTTGTCAAAGTTATGACAATATTACATAAATGTTTAAAGTTAAAACTTTTGATCCAACACAAAAAAATTCTCTCACCTAGAGCTTTCGACCAGTCACTCTGGTCTTCCTCAGTAGACTGACCCAGTGAAGCTTGTCAGGTGGCTTCTTTGAAGTGTGACGTCAACACTGGGTCAAAGGTATCTGGTAGACGATGTCGGCCCCCGTCGCGGTTCAATGTAGGGTGATGGGCCCTGATGTATATGGCTTCCTTCACCCCTCTCAAGAAATAGTCTTGTTCAGTGTCTAAAATCCTTACAGTGTCAAGTGAAACAAAGTGTCCGGGTGACTCTATGTGGATGTGTTGAGACACCTCTGAACTGGAAGAGCTAGGTATGTTCTTGAAACCTGGCTTTTAGAGACCTCTCTGTTTCCCCAATGTACGTTTCCTGGCAGGGCCCCTTGCTGTTTTTGCCCTGGCAGGGGATGTGGTAGATGACACCACACTTCTTCTCTTTGTGGGTTTTGTCCTTGGGAGCTTGGGTTTTGTCCACATAGCACCTGGACACTTTGTTTCACTTGACACTGTAAGGATTTTAGACACTGAACAAGACTATTTCTTGAGAGGGGTGAAGGAAGCCATATACATCAGGGCCCATCACCCTACATTGAACCGCGTGACAAGCTTCACTGGGTCAGTCTACTTACTAGGAAGACCAGATTGACTGCTCGAAAGCTCTAGGTGAGAGATTTTTTTTTTGGTGTTGGACCAAAAGTTTTAACTTTAAACATGTAACTACCAACGCAGATGAAGATTCATGATAATATTACATAAAGTTAATGAAAGTTTTCGCAGACAATATTTTGGCCACGTCATTTTGGCCTATGGCCGTTAATATCTTTTTCTCGTTTTCATCATTTTGGGCATTAAAATGTTTCTTTTCGTTAGACATGGCAGGACAGCCGACTGAGTTGGGATCCGAAGTACTATGATGATGTCACCACGCTTAGCGTTCACGGCAACGACATTTGGACACCAACATTGACTCTGAAAAGAAAGTAAGCTGTGTTATCAATCCATACATTAAATCCCCTTTGTCACATTAAATATGAATAAGTATATCTTAGCAACACAATGGATAGGCTTTGCGTTATCCCAAACCTGTACGACCTGTATACTATGTCTGGCGGAGCGTTCATGTACAGCAATCCACAGCGGATGTGCCCGGGATGTTCGGCGCCAGCGTGAACACAACCCGACAGAAGGGCGGCAGAGCGTGCGGTATATTTTTCTGCGACCGGTTGCGCATCACGAATTTCCGGTACACGCACAGCCATAGGCGGTTACGTTGTGAGCCAGTTAAAAACCTGTACGAAAGGCTACAGGTCACGAAATCCATCATGAAATCATGGTTGCTCAAGTGGGCAACGTGACATCGAGTCAAAAAAACAGGCAACGCTCTTATGCGACTTGTGGTAACGCGTTACATGTGGTACCCGTTGTAAGAGTGGTACCTATCAAGACTGGCCAGGGGAAAGGCAGCGCTCTTGTGCGGCGTGTGGTACATGTGGTATTCGTGGTAGACGTGGTAACTATATCAAGACGGGCCATGGGAAAGGCAGCGCTCTTGTGCGGCGTGTGGTACATGTGGTACCAGTGGTAGAAGTGGTAACTATATGTCGAGACGGACCATGGCAAAGGCAGCGCTCTTGTGCGGCGTGTGGTACATGTGGTGCCCGTGGTAGAAGTGGTAAGTATATCAAGACGGGCGATGTGAAAACTAGCGCTCTTGTGCGGCGTGTGGTACATGTGGTAGCCGTGGTAAGAGTGGTAACTGTATCAAGACGGGACATAGGAAAGGTAGCGCTCTTGTGCTGCGTGTGGTACATGTGGTACCCGTGGTAGGAGTGGTAACTATATCGAGACGGGCCATGGGAAAGTCAGCGCTCTTGTGCGGCGTGTGATACATGTGGTACGCGTGGTACGAGTGGTAACTATATCAGGACGGGCGATGGGGAAGGTAACGCTCTTGTGCGGCGTGTGGTACATGTGGTATTCGTGTTAGAAGTGGTAACTGTATCGAGACGGGCCATGGGAAAGGCAGCGCTATTGTGCGACGGGTGGTACATGTGGCACCCGTGGTAGAAGTGGTAACTACATCGAGACGGGCCATTAGCATACTTCTAATGGCCCGTCTCGATGTAGTTACCACTTCTACCACGGGTTCCACACTCCCAAAAATGACATTTTTTGCATTCTTTTTTTTTACACACAGAAAATATTTCTACCTGGAAGCAATTTTTTTATGTATACAAGAATTTTCAAGAAAGAGATTTTGTCCATGAATTAAGCGATTTTTTTCTTATCGCACTTTTTCTTGCAGTAATAATATTTTTCTTATTGGTTTCTATATAAGTTATTCTTGGTTACTTTTGGAATCTCATTCTTACAGTAAGATTATTTCTATTACATGTTCGTGATGCAGACAATTGTTCTTATACATAATGCATAACTTTCTCAATACAAGCCTAAAATTCTTTTAATCTGGAAGCTGCTTTATTCTTTCAAGATTGTCGTTCTTATCCCGAGAACACTACAATCTTATTAGCTAGAGGCCTCGTGTCTTATGATCAATATTTGCTATTGTTCATGGGCCTCGTGTCTTCGGGTCATTATTTGAGGCGTAGCTTCCATGTAAGCCATCCCGAAATTTTACGGCGGATGTGCCCAAAAACACGGCGAGCAGCAGGGCTGCGTTTCTATCATGCGCGGCGATCGTCGCATACTCGAACGATACAACACCTAAAACCCTAAGCATGACATAACCATTAACTTTTTACCATTGCGTCATCTAAAAAGTTCAAACACGTACAATTCCAAAACCAAAAACGATATTCCAAAATGGTATCTTGTTTTGGAACACTTGTGTCATACCCTTTCGAACGATACAAAACTAGGTCTTTCGGTTACCCTAACCCTGACCCAAACCCTAAGCATAACACGGTCATTAATTTTTACCATAGCGCCATCTGGAAAGTTTAAACACATACAATTACCAAAACCAAAGACGATCTTACCAAAACAGTTTCCTGTTATAGAATACTTGTGTCATTACCCTTTCTAACAATACCAAACGTTTCCTTATTAGGACTTTCGGTTACCCTAACCCTAACCCTAACCCTAATTATTACATGATTATTAACATTTTACCCTAGCGTCATCTGAAAGTTTAAACACGTACAATTCCAAAACCAAAGTCGATCTTCCAAAACGGTTTGCTGTTATGGAATACTTGTGTCATACCCTTTCGAACGATACCAAGCTTTACCTTCCTAGGACCTTTCTTAACCCTAACCCTAACCCAAACCCTAATCATTACATGATCATTAATTAACTTTTTACCCTAGCTTCATCTGAAAAGTTAAAACACGTACAATTCCAAAGCCAATGACGATCCTCCAAAACGGTTTGCTGTTCTGGAATA